TATAATTATAGAAGATTATTCTTCTCCATTACATAATTATTAAAAAAAATATATAGTTGTTGGAACTTGAACCTGCTTAGCTGCTTCACTGAAAGAAGTTGTTAGTTACATTTGATAGCTAAACCTGCTTATTTGCAAAGTCATCTTATATCAAACTAGTGTAAAGGATCCAAAGTAGTACCGCGGGTCATAACATCCCAACATTAACGTATTCTAAAAAGGTTTTGGTATTTTAATGTAATAATGAATAGTGAAATACTTGAACTTTTTATAATTTAATCTAAAAAAAAATTATTTTATCCTTTAATAATTTTATTTTTTTAATTGTATCATTCATCATTGGGTATTAAACTTCATTATTTATCGTAATTTACTTTCTATAGAATTATCTAGATCTTATGATCTATATTTCACAGGTTAATTTAAATTAATTTGAGTTTTTTTTTTAAATTAATGTTTTCTCAACTCTATTATTCGATATTAAATTAATTGAGAAATGTGTTTTATATTTTTTTTATTTACTTTATATAAGGTTATCACTATCTTATGACTTGAGTTGTGAGTTTTGCAGGTTTACTCAGGTTTTTATTGGGCTTTTTTTAATTAAATTTTTTTTTTAATTTTATTTTTCAGTATTTGGTTAATTAGAAATTTGAATTCATTATTTTCTTTTCATATTATCTTTTTATAGAGTTATTCTAGTCTTATTTTCTATGTTATTTTTTTAATTAATTTTTTTAATTCATCATTCAATATTGAGTTGATTAAGAATTGACTATCTTAAAAAACTTTATTTGCTTTTATAAGGTTATAATGGTCTCATGACTCAAATTGTGGGTTAGCCCGGTTGCCTTAAGGTTTTTTATCTTTTTTAATTTATTTTTTTCAATTGCAACTTTTAATATTAAGTTGTTTAACAATTAGGCTTTATAATTTATTTCGGTTGTGGAGTTATCTCAACCTTAAGGCCTGGGTCATGAGTTTAGTTAATTAACTGAAGTTGACTTGGATGGTTTTTTATATTGTTTTTCTAATTGATTTTTTTTTTAATTTTCATCCTTTAATATTATGTTGATTGAAAGTTAAGCTTTATAATTTGTTTTATTTTTTTATGTGATTATACTAGTCTCGTGACCGAGGTTCAAAAGATTAATATGGGTTGACTGAATTTATTTTTTAACTAAAAAATTAAATTTTATTTTCAATTTCATTCTTTAACATTGGATTGATTGAGTATTGGACTTAATATTTTTTTTTAATCGGCTTTCAGTAAGGTTATTAGAGTCTTATTATAGCCTAAATTGATTTTAGTAAATCTTAGTCGATTCAATATATTGTTATCTCAATATTTTTTTAAATAAGATATCATTATGATTTTTTTTAATCAAACTATGTTTTATCGATCATTCAACTTGTCTTTAAACCTACAAAATCCACTAACACATATTGGATCAACCCCCACATAGTTTTTTTCTACGAGAAAACATATTAACAATACCTAGATATTTTTTATGTTTAACAAAAACAATAACATGACCTACAGTGTAGCAGAAAAACTATCTAGTTCATAACAATCCTAATTTATTCATTATATTAAAATGAAATTGAGTGCTCTAAAATAAATTTAATTTATGAGTTAACTTTATTTATTTTCATTTTAACCTTTATATTTTATTGGTTTATGTATTACAACTTTATAATTAAATGCATTTATCATTATCAACCGCACATTATAAAATTTATTTTTATGTTAGGTATCAAAAAAATACTTTGCATGTAAAATATTTTTCATACCACCTGGACTTTTTTGAAAGAATCTTTAACTAAAAAGGTAATAAATTAATATCTTTTAGGTAATTTTTATATATATATGATTGGAAATACATTTAATTCCTTCTCAACTAAAAATATACTACTAAAACCCAGTAAAAAATTAATTAATAAGTTAGCCCAATTGCCTGGTTTTTTTTAATTGATTTATTTTTAAATTTCATCCTTCAAAGAATTAGTCTTCATAAATATTTTTTCGGTTTATTTCTATAAAATTATCATAGCCTTAAAACTTAAGCAATGAGTTTGGTCGGTTGACTCCAATGGTTTTTTGTGTTCTTTTTCTAATCAATTTTTTTAATTCCATCCTTCAACATTATCTTAATAAAAAATTGAGTTTCATAATTTATTTTAATTTTTTCTTATGTGATTATACCAGTTTCATGACTTAGGCTCAACAGGTTAACGTAAGTTGACTGAACTTGTTTTTTGAATTGAAAAATTAAATTTTATTTTCACTTTCATCCTTTAATATTGGATTGATTGAATATTGGGTTTAATAGTTTGTTTATTGACTTTCTACAATGTTATTAGGGTCTTATGATAGCCTAATTTGATCTAAGTAAATCTGAGTCAATTTAATATATTGTTGTCTCAATATTTTAAAAAAAATATTATCTTGATTTCTCTTAATCAAACTATATTTTTATTAATTAATCAAGTTGTTTCTAAATTTTCAAAGTCAACTATGTCATATTCGGTTAATTCTTATATGAGTTATTTTATTTTTTGTTAGAAAACATAATAACAATACTTGAATATTTTTTTTATGTTCAATAAAAAATGATTTGTCTCACAGTATAGCACCAAGAATTATCTTGTTCTTAAATATACTAATTTCTTCATTATATTAAAATAAGATTGGGCACTCGAATATAGATTTAATTCATGTGTTAATTTTATTGATTTAACTTATTTTCATCTTATCCTTTCTCTTTTTCTGATTTATATATTATAACTTTGTCATTAAATGCATTCATCATTATTAACTAAACATCATAAAATTTATTTTCATGTAAAATATATATAAAAAATACTTTATATATAAAATATTTTTCAAACCAACTGGACTTTTTTAAAATAATTTTTAACTAAAAAGTAATAAATTAATATTTTATAGGTATTTTTTATATACAATTGAAAATACTATTAACTCCTTCTGAACTAAAAAAATACTACTAAAAATCACTTTTTATATAATACCCAACATCTAATAAGGCTTTATTTATATTTATATATAAACAAAAGCTAAAACTGGTTTGAAAAATATTTTAGCTATAAATTCATTGACACCACTAAACTAAAATAGTATAATGATATCTTTATCTTCCATGTCAAAATACCTATGACTAGGTATTAAAATCTTTTTAGGAGGTATATTATATATTTTTAAATCAATTAGAGGAAATTATGTCTTTTTTTATTTTGAAAGTATAATAAAAAGACCAAAAATTTTTTAAAAACAAATATTTCAATACTAGCATCAAACGATAATTTGGTACTTTCAAAATAATTTTTTATTATTATCATATAAGATGAGAGGAAATATTGTATTTGAATAAATATAAAAAATCAAAACCACAATGAAAATGACTAAAATGTCATTGAAAACAAAAAAAAATTAAAATTAGCTTTAAGAGGTTTTTTCATCCTTTTCCAAAAATTTTTCAATAACATGGTAGATCAGGGGTAATTTTATATTTAACTAAATAAAAAATAAAAAAACAAGAGCATTTTACGCATTTTGATACACGCAGGTGACACCCACAACCTTTAGACGATGTGTGTAACACCTCTCGATACTTAAAAATACCCTTTCACCATGTTGTTAAAAGTGCTTTTATATTCTTTTTTAATTGGTATGATACATGTTTTTAGTGGTGGTTCAACTTATAATTGATGAGCTTTTTTTTTCTCTTCTTTTCTCTTTCCTCCCTGAAAAATTAGAATTTGGCTCTATTGGTTGTTGGTATTTCAACTCTATTTTTTATTTGTTTAATTTTTAATTTTTGGTCTTGATTTTTTTGTAGAAGTTTCATTTGTTTTTAATTTCATTATTCAATTCAAATTAAAGGTATTATATTTTTCAATTTGATCTTCATTGTTTTGATTTTTAATTTTCTTATTGGCTATTTTGTTAAAGTTATTATTCTTTTTCTAATTTTACCATTCAATCAAAATATTATTTATATTTTCATGTCAATTTGATTCTTATTCTTTTGAATTTTCTTGGTCATTTTACTAATTTTTTTTTTCATTCTTTTTTGAATCTTTTTGTATAATTAATTTTTTTATTCAATTTTATTCATTAATATTTAATTGATTGTAAATTGAATTTTATGATATTTCTAGATCGAGTGTTTTAAGTCTAATGACTTGAATACAGGAGATTGATCAAAACTGATTTATATATGTCTTATCTATTTTTAGAGCATAAACATTAATTTTTGCCCAAAAAAATGGTTCGGTTCTGTGGTAAGTGCGGATACCAAGGCTGGTACCGAGGCTAAACAGTAAACCATATTCATGATAGAAAATTCCCGTTCAAATCACAACCGACCCGACGCCACTTGACCCTACAAACCAACCATCCCCAACCGCCAAAGCCGTCCATGTCATGATCCGACGGCTGAAATTAAACAAAAAGAAAAAACCCAGTCAGCAAAGCCGAAAGAGTCCCTTTTCCAGAACATGAAACGGAGGTCATAAGAAAATAACAGAATCAGTTACAAATTAGTATCTCCATTCTTACAAAACAAATCAACTAATCCCTCTAATTTTTAATTAATTAATCTTTTGTCAATCATGCTTAATTTAATTTTAAGTTAATCCAAAAGACTTCTTCTCATCAATATTTATATAATACTTATTTATTTATTCAAATCTTATGTTTTTATAACAAAATAAATAAATAGATTAGAAAACAAATATAAACTGAATGAAAAGAACTAATTAATCCGTTTTTAAAATTATAAGGTCTATTTTATCTACTTTGAACAATTACAGGAACTAGTTTTTATAACACTGAAAATAAGAGAGACAGAGAGAAAGGCTGTCAGACAGGTCACGCTTTCTTTTCTCGTGGTGGAAATGATTCCCCTCTCTAAAAAATTTGGTCTTAATTTCATTTGCATTTCAAAAATTCCTTCTCTCTTTCTCTCTCACTATATATATAAACCTCCTCTCTTCTCTATAGCTAACCCTTACACTCCTCCGTTTTCGTCTCACCCTCTCTCTCGAGCGCAACCACCAGCTAGCAAGCCAGTCCGGCCACATCTTTCGCTAGATTTGGCTAGGTCTGTTTCGCGCTCTCTCTCTCTCTAGATATCTCCCCTGTCTCCGACTTCAATCAAGGTAAGTGACTGATCTGTATTTGTGTCTCGATTTATTTTGGATTGTGTAGATCGGGTGAACGGCGTCGTTTTCTAATTTGAAATCGGTTGAATCGCGGATTTTTTCTTCGGTTTATCGGTTTCGCGTTACCGATCTAAGTTAAATGTTGGTGTATTGTGTTGTTGAAGGTTAGATCTAGACGTTTTTGGTGGTTTTGTTTGGATCGTTTGATTTGATAGCTTGATCTGGTTTTGTTGTGTATAGATCTGCTGAGATGTTTTTAGATCTGTTGATTTGACCTTTCAGATTTTGATTTTGATTGCTATCTCGTATGAACTTGAAGAAACGTAGAATTTGAATCGTGTGCAAGTTGGAAATTTTATGTGGTTATTGATTGAGATTTAGCTTCAGCTGTGGTGTCTTGAATTCATTTTCAGTGACATTTGTGTTGTTTTTAAGCTTAGTACTTTTCTTTTTTCATAAGATGGCTGGATTCTGTGAGGGTAAACGGTAAACATGCTGATTGGAATTTGAATCGTGTGAAATTGGAAATGATGTGTGGTGATTGCCTGAGATTTAGTTTAAGCTGCAGTTTCTTGAATTTATTTATTTTAAATATAATTGGGTTGCTTTCTAAGCTTAAAATTCTTATTTTTTCATAAGATAGCTGAATTCTGTGAAGAGTAAAATTGTAGTGAATGCTGATTGGAATTTCATGAGTAAATTTTATTGTTTGAAGCTTTGGATGGTAAATGATTTGGAATGATTAATTAGCTGGTACATTTCATTTTGTGAACTGCGGAGAAATTGGATATGTTGTAGTTGATTATTCTTTATACAGATGGCTTTGTAAATTATCTAGTAAAATTTTTCTGTATTTATGGTTATTTCTTTCGCTCATTTTTATCTTTTATATTTTTGTACAGAATTTGTAGAAAATGGCCGATGCCGAGGATATTCAACCCCTGGTCTGTGACAATGGAACTGGAATGGTGAAGGTGGGTTGGATGCTTTCCTAGTTGTGAAGGACTGCGTTTTGTTACTCCTAATTTGTTTGGTGTGGTGTTAATAAGTTATTGTTTTGTGTTGTTTGCAGGCTGGGTTTGCTGGTGATGATGCACCCAGGGCAGTGTTTCCCAGTATTGTGGGAAGACCAAGACACACTGGTGTCATGGTTGGAATGGGCCAGAAGGATGCCTATGTTGGTGATGAAGCACAATCTAAAAGAGGTATCTTGACCTTGAAATACCCTATTGAGCACGGTATTGTAAGCAACTGGGATGATATGGAGAAGATTTGGCATCACACTTTCTACAATGAGCTTCGTGTCGCTCCTGAAGAGCACCCTGTCCTCCTGACTGAGGCTCCCCTCAACCCTAAGGCTAACAGAGAGAAGATGACTCAAATTATGTTTGAGACCTTCAATGTTCCTGCAATGTATGTTGCCATCCAGGCTGTCCTCTCCCTGTATGCCAGTGGTCGCACAACTGGTTCGTATCCATCATTATTGAATTCTGTATTTTGTGTTTTTGTAGTTAGGAAATGATTTTGGTACTGATTGGATTCTCACATGAACAGGTATTGTGTTGGATTCTGGTGATGGTGTGAGTCACACTGTGCCAATCTATGAAGGTTATGCCCTTCCACACGCCATCCTTCGTTTGGATCTTGCTGGTCGTGACCTTACCGATGCTTTGATGAAGATTCTGACTGAGAGAGGTTACATGTTCACCACCACTGCTGAACGGGAAATTGTCCGTGATATGAAGGAGAAACTTGCATATGTTGCCCTTGACTACGAGCAGGAGCTTGAGACTGCCAAGAGCAGCTCCTCTGTCGAGAAGAACTACGAGCTTCCTGATGGTCAGGTCATTACCATTGGAGCTGAGAGGTTCCGTTGCCCAGAAGTCCTCTTCCAGCCTTCTCTCATCGGAATGGAAGCTGCTGGCATCCACGAGACTACATACAACTCAATCATGAAGTGTGATGTGGATATTAGAAAGGATCTGTATGGTAACATTGTGCTCAGTGGTGGTTCCACCATGTTCCCTGGTATTGCTGACCGAATGAGCAAGGAGATCACTGCTCTTGCCCCAAGCAGCATGAAGATCAAGGTGGTTGCACCACCAGAGAGAAAGTACAGTGTCTGGATTGGAGGATCTATCCTTGCTTCCCTCAGCACCTTCCAGCAGGTGAGTTTTCTTATTTCAGTAACTTTTCTCAGTCCCTCTTGCAAGTGTCATGTGATTTGGATTGAGGCTTACATGTTTGTGTGTTTGTATCAGATGTGGATTTCCAAGGGTGAGTATGATGAGTCTGGCCCATCCATTGTCCACAGGAAGTGCTTCTAAGTTCTACAGGTGCTTTGATGGTGAGTTCTTTTTCCTATTTAGTTGGCTTTTTTCGTGTCAAGGTGTCATGAACTCAAAAGTCCTGGTTGATATGGAGAGTTTGTTGAGGTGGGGATCACTGAAGGAGAAGGGAACGTTCTGATCTTCGATGTATTGAATAGGCTTGTGATTCAATGTTGACATTGCTGCCATTTGTGAAGCTTAAACTGTAATGGTCCTCCCTCTGGATGTGGTGGGCAGACACTTTGGTAATCAAGTTCTTTGCTTCCCTCACATCATCACCAATGGTTCAACCTTGTGTCTTTTTTTAGTAGGATGCTTGTAGTCGGAGAGTGATTGTGATGATGCTTTTCTATTTTTTTTTTCCATCTCGACATTTGAAGGGTTTATTTTTTTTCCTGGGAACATTAATGTTAATAGTTATTGTATGAGAAATTTTATGTTAGTGTCAATTTGCTTTCATAAACCCTATGGAAATCATATTTAATACTTTTGTTTGAACTTTGAATTGCTCTCAGTCCTTTCTAGACCATCTTTTTCGGTGTTTGTTCTATACCGCTGTTGTTTTCTTGAATGTTTCTGCCGTGGAATCTGCCTGCCCGAACGCCTTCTTAAAAGTCTTAATTAGCAGCATCTAATTTTAATATTGCTGAGAGTATTAAGTTATTCCCTCCCTTTAGGTATCATCATCTCGGGATAGAAGCGATGGAAAAATTATCCAATCTATAGTGTGGCTTTGTATCTGTTTTTTGAACCAAACACGATTCTGTTTCTTTCTGGACCTTCCTGTCTGTGATGGGACGAAAATATTTGTGGGTGCTCCCCACTTGGAAGGCTGGCCTATTAATTGAGGAGGCCGAGAGATGCTGGGGATTGCGTGACTCGATTTTGAATACTGTAGATGTTCAGGGGTGGTCAAATTGAGGATTCTATGGTCTTCATGTTGAGGAAGTGGATTTAAATGAATAATTTATTTATTGTGATTAAACCACAAGCAGACGGAGAGTTGAGTGTTGGTGGAGGAATCATTTATTTATTGCTGGTGGCAGCAGGGTGATGGTGCTTACCATATTTTTTTAATTGTTGACTGGTCAAAATAAGGAACGCCAAATTAAAATAACTTGTGATATTGTAATGATATCTGGTGCTTCGTGCAATATTGAATCGATCCTCTCTCTCACGGGTCGCTGATGAAATATTTTGGGAGCTTGGAGGGGAAAAAAGATTATTCAACTTAATAGGATTTCCCTTTGATTAAAAAGTTTATATAATGTAAGCTCTTAGAAATGAAAAATACATATATATTAAATTGGAAGAACACGGAATGGACAGAGTTCAAATTTTTCTGGAACTATTTGAGCTTAAAAAATGTCTCAATAACAAGAGAAGGTGAGGGAGAATAGAGATGGTAATTTATGATGAATTTGATGGATATTTAACTGAATGGATCATGTACAGTTATTTTATCTTATGAATAATGAAAAGTGTATGAATATTGTAAAATAACATCAAAACTTTTATGTATATTTTGTTGAATAATAAATATAGTGTATGAATAATATTAATATCTATATTTGGTAGGGTATGGATATATAGGAATCCAAGTCGTTGTTACCTGTTGTCATCTCTAAAGGTGAATCACCCTCCAATCTTTGTAGTGATGATCAATTTAATTTATCGTGTTAACTAAACCACCAACGCTCCTTATTGTGGATTGCATGATTTTTTTATGGCGAAACTGATAATGAGAAAAACAATCAATTAGTTTGTTCAACAACATGGAATAAGTTGTGTTCAACTCTTTTTAGAAATTGATTAGTTATGTAATTTGTGCTCCTTTACAAGTGAATAAAATTTTTTTGAGCTAAAATAATGTCCAGGTTTGTATTCATGTTTTAAAGAGGAGAAAAAACGAATGCTGAATTAAAAAAAAAATCTAATAATAAAATAAAAAATAGCTAAAAAAATGACAATAGTAATAATCTATTAAACTTGCTATCCAAGCTATTTGACTAGAAACAATAAACTTAAAAAAAAACTTTGAAATCTAGTTTTTAATTAATCAAATATTACATGACAAACTTTAATAAAAATAAAAATAAAAATAAATCTAACATACAAAAAATAACAATTATAAGCCAAAAAAGCTTAAGTCCGCCTGAGTCAACACGTTAAACCTACAAATTAAGTTATAAGATCAAAATAATTCGAATGAAAAGAAAACAAAAAAAATCAACTTAACTAAAAAAACCATTGTCAAGTCTCATGAGACAGAAAAAAATAAATTCTAAAAAATAACTGATGCCATTCATTTCTCGGGGGTCATGTAATTAAAAGCATCAAAATATAAAAAAATCACAAAAACTGATTTTCAACAAATCTAATATTAAAAAATAACTTTTTTTACAAAATCATTCACACAAAAAATCCAAAAAAAATAACAGTAATTAAAAAAAAAAATACACAAACTCATTCAAATTAATCCATCAACCACACAGTTTAAATTAAAAAATCTTAACAATTCAGGTTAATCCATCAAATACACATTCCACAGTCTCTACCGCATGCAACTCCTCCATCTAGTTTTTCTTCTTCTCTCTCCATCAACATATACTTTTGTTGCCATCTGACATACAGTTTGCCTGGCAACACTTAATTTCTTCTCAGTTCCAATCCCTAACCAGCTTCGCAACTTCCTCAATCTTATTGGCAAGACTTGCCTGGAACAGTGGTTCAGTAGCATCATTAATGGACTTTAAAAAGAGATTTTCTGTGAAATCAATGGAGAGGGTGAACGAGTTACATGCAGTGGTGACTGTGCAAGTAGCATCATACACGTCTTTTAAACAGAAAATTCATTAATTAAGTGAAATATTGTTTAATCAAGATATTATTTAAACCTCAAATTTAAACGGTAAATTTCACAGTTTATAGCCCAAATTAGGCGTTATTAATGTTTTCTAGAGTTGTGTTGTTATGTTTTTAAGGCTATGTTTGTTTCTTGGAAAACAGTTTTTTAGAAACCACTTTCCAAACTTTCGTGTGTTTGTTTGTTATTAGGAAAGTTGGTCAACGGAAAACACTTTCTGGTCAATGGAAAACACTTTCTGGTCAACGAAAATATTTTTTAGTCAAAAAAATTTTTTGCTTAATTTTCAGGAAAGTGTTTTCCTTTTTAGCTGTGTTTGTTTTCCGGAAAGTGGTTTCCGGGAAAACACTTTCCAAACTTTCTTGTGTTTGTTTGCTGTTAGAAAAGTTGATAAACGGAAAACACTTTCCAGTCAAAGAAAAATTTGGCTTGATTTTCAGGAAAGTGTTTTCCTGAAAAATTTGGGAGGAAAACACTTTCCGGAAGTTGTGAAAAGTTTAGAAATGTCATTATTTGCTGATTATATCAAATTTGATCCTCAAACTTTTGATTGCTATATATATTTTGTTTTGAATATTTATTTTTCAATTTCATTTCTTAAAATTTAATTTTTATATTTACTTTGGTCCTCATTTTTATAATTGTTATTTGCTTTTCTCCTATTAGTTTTTTATTGAAATTTTTTTCTATCAAATTTGGTCCTCGTTCTTTTGATTGTTATTTATTTTATTTGAAATACTTTATGAAATGTTAATTATTATTATTTTAATTTCTTCATCTTTTTTTTTAAATTTGATCTTTATTATTTTGATTATTATTTATTTTATTTGAGATAATTTATGAATTTTTTTTTCAATTTCATTATTATTCAACTTTTTAATTTGTAAGATTTATTCCTTATTATTTTAATAAACTTGAGAAAAATAAAATATTAATAAATTATTTTCCAGTTCATTTTCCATAACATAACCAAACACTGGAAAGTATTTTCCATTTCATTTTCCATAACACTATCAAACATCAGAAAATACTTTACTTTTCAGAAATTTATTTTCTCCGGAATTCACTTTCCCAGAAATTCACTTTCCAAAAAAAAACAACTTTCCTACAAACAAACGGGGCCTAAGATTAGATAATCCCAAAAACAACCCTAACCAGCATTCGAGGCTTCAATGTCCATTGCCACGTATAGTTGTGTGGATTGTGGGCTTGAACCTATTCAATTAAAAAGCCCAAATAAGAAAACAATAATGACTTTTGGGTCTCATGACCTGTTGTTAAGAGCTAAAACCTTCACAAGTTTCAAAGCCCATTTAATTGACCTTTTTTCAGTATAAAAAAACATTTGAGAGAACATTGTAACACCCTCAAGATAATTAAAAGAAAAGAAGAAGAATATGATATTTTCTATTAAAGAATTTTTTGGTTTCCCTCCACTGAGGCTATATTCTTCCATTGGTTGCTAGTGTGTTTTCTGATGAATTTGGATTTGACTTAGTGCAGATGTTGATGGAGATACGGTGAAGAGAGTGGCCTTTTATATCATTTTCCCCTCTATTTTTGGGTGGTGAAATGAGGCCTTGAGTAACATATTCGTTTCGGGATATGGTACTGTACAATGGTTCTTGGCATTAAAATATTTGCAAAATGAATTTCACGTATACTGATTGGAAAAAATTCTATAGGCCCAATATATATATTTCTTCTCGGTCTTTTATTATGTCACCCTCATGTGATGTAAGAAGACTGTTTTCAGCTTGTATACAGAGATAAGGTCTTGAGAATGTAGTGAGTCCTAAACAAAATAGCAGACAAGTCTTTCCTGAAAATTGTTTTGAGCCTAAAAGGTTTTTCGTGAACTTAAACCTTGTATCCAATATTGACATGATGGCCACTTGGAAGAATGTCTTGTTTCATGGCGGTTCTGCTTTGGTTAGGAACTGGTGGAAATTAACAATCTCAGTGTCTCACATAAAGCTGCATGAAGATGAACCAGTTTACTTAAATCTTCTGTGCGCTGAATACGAGAGTTGGTTTAGCTTCCTTGACTGATAGAACTTTCCTTAATTTTTCTCTGATTTTACTATATCAACATGTGAATATTTTGAAAGAAGCCAAAAGAACCACATGAGGGCTGAACTTGGAGTATCTCCATTGGCGAAAGCTAGACTAACAATATTATCGTTGATAACTTTGTGACTGATCGGTCTTTGCCCCATGAGCTCATGTCCAATCAAGTACAATTTCAATGCACTGAAATCCTCATCATCTTTGTTTGTGTTTGTTTCTTTATTTAGGTCTTCTTGCTTCAATATTGACATGTGTTGTGCCATAATATCATCGATGGTTTTCCAGGCTTCACTTAGCTTCTTCTCTTTTCCGAACCCTGGCCACCTTACCATCTTCCAAAGGAAATTTGGAATAGATGTCGATCATAAATTGCTTCAAAAGCATCGTCTACTGCCTTTGTGCAGGGGTCTTCAGGAAATGCAATTTCGAAGGGCTTGGGTTTATAACCTGTGAATTGAGCTAGAAAAATAAGCTGTGCGCCTCCTAGTCAAAGCCTGCAAATCCACAGTTACTTCTTCCTAACATACATTCTCGAGAATTGGGATTAGCTCCATCTTTATACAATCTTGAAGGATCTTTTTCATGGCTTGGTGGCACTGCTGGTGGCTAAGAAATCCTCGAGCAGCCTTCTTGTGGTACGTCCATTCGTCGAAATCCGAATTGAAGACCGAATGACCAAAAATATCAAATCGCTCTCTCCAAGCCGACCCTTTTGGATAGTTAGAAAAGTTTGTGCTCATTCTGTGTTGAACAGTGGCCAACCACTCGGGATATTGATGGACGTTGAGAAGCAATGATAGCGAAGTCATTTGGTTATGCCTATTTTCACAGAAAGGAAAACAAAGAGCTAAAACAATGGCCGAGATCATTAGAATGTCAGTTAACCTCAGCATTGTGGTATTGTGCCAGTCGACTACATTGCTAATTTATATTATTCTTTGTGCTTTCAAATTTAATTCCAGTATATTAATGGAAAAAAAAAACATGAATGTTCTCCTTATGGTTTTGAAATAAACCCCACAACTTATATTATAAAATGGAATTGTTTACATGAATAATAAAAGAACAATTTAGATGATCATTTCGAGATGTCCAGGCCTCCAAAGCAAAAAAGAAAACAATATTGAAATCTTGCTTACTCTGAGTCACTCGTCCTATTAATAGGGTTTTTCATTCTTGAATATGTGCAGGTTTGAATTTAAATGGAGACTATGGCGGGTGTCAACTAATTAATGCCCTAGTCAAAAGCCACTAATGTTGTAGTTTCATTTTATTTAATGGCTTCTTCCGTTTTTGGCTAACGAAACCCAGTTGTCCTCCTCTCTAGTTGATATGGTGTCATCCCATGCTTAAATAAGTTGACCGTTGAATCAAATTGACCCAGAAGGCTTCAGCATGTGTTAGATCAGGCTGTTTACATATCACCCCCCCCTTCAAGATCCTTGACCTCAAGGTCAGGATATGTTTGATAAGCCCATTTTTCCTTTACCCAGACGACATCCTCGTCTGCTTGTCCTTGGTAACGCAACAGGTACTCCTTGGTAAGTACCCTTCTAGTCTTCTTCTCCTTTGCTTAAGAATTCTTTCAGGTAACGGGTTTGGTCTTCCTTCCCAGAAAAGAGGTAGCTTTGAGACCAATGGCTCTTTATCCCCAATCTTTTTCTTTAGAAGTGACACATGGAAGGTGGGATGCACCTTAGCTTCTACAGGTAAGTTTTAATTGATAAGCAACTTCTCCGATTCTCAGTTTAATTTCAAACGGTCCATAGTAACAATAGCCTAATTTTTTTCTTCCTTATTTTTTGCATACTTAACTATCGATATGGTTGGACCCAAAGGTAAACCCAATCTCCTACTTTAAATTCTTGTTCTTTCCTTCTTCTTTTTTATCTGCTTATTGTTTTTGTTGATTCTGTGCCTTGTGTAAATTGCTCTTGATGTTGTTGAGGATCATTGACATGTCCTTTAAATGTTCTTCCACCATGTGATTGCTTGTAAGACCAGGAACACAACTGGTTAAATTTAGGGGTGCATAACCATAAAAGGCTTGAAATGGGGTAGTGTTTATTGAAAAGTGATGGTTTGTGCTGTACCAACACTTATCCATAGTCAATCCCGACACCAAGTTTTTGGATTCTCCCCTATAAAATACCTTTATGAGGTTTTGTTTGTAATCTCTATTTGCCCTTTGATTTGAGGATGGGAGGCAGTAAACATAAATGAGTCAACCCCCTTGTCTCGAACAATTCCTGCCACAATTACTAGTGAAAATTGAGTCCCTGTTAGGAACTATGTTCCCTGGTAATTCATATCAGTGGTGAGTAAAAAAATTAAACAATTAATTGTATTTGAATTTATAAATATTTAAATTTGTAATATATCTTTAATTTTTATATTAATTTAATTTATTTTAATTATTTTCTACTTCGGTTTAATAGAATCTTTTTAAAAATATATATTTTTAAATTATTACTAGGACCCATCAGTATTTTACTCATCAACAGAGTTATAGACAATTTGTTTAATGGTTATATGCTAAATTTGCTGAGGGGAATACCGATGGATATAAAAAATCACCGATGGACATAAAAAATTACCGATGGAATTGTATACAATTTTTTTGTTGGTGATATGTTATATTTATCAATGGAAATATTGACAGAACGAAGCGGATAATATTATTTTTGCATGCTTTTGTTGTTAATAAATCCATCAATAAAATTATTACCGACAAACAACCACAAAAACCAACGAGAGTTTTTCTAATGGAGTATCATCATCCGTGAGCCCGTTAGTAAAATTCAAGTTGATGGATTGAAAGTATAAATACTTACAGAAAATCTTGTCAATAGATCTAAAAATTTCAATAGTGGTAGTCATAGCCAAGGTTGTTAATTCCATTCTGTTTTGTTCGAAATTGTCAAAACATTTCATATTAAAAAAGAAATAGAATAATTTTCATCTCATTTTAAATCTTGATTCATTCTGAATTTTTTGGATATATTTCGGTCGAAATATTCTGGTTTTATTTTACATGTTTCGTTTTGGTCTTAAAAAGCCATTGAATCAAACCTAAACTTCATCTTATTTTAACTAAAACAAATCCTAAAAATACCATATAAATATTAATAACTCCATTTTCAACTACAAAACAATCTTTTATCAATCTAAAAATAAAAAATCAAATAAAATAATAATAAAAATAATTATGGACCCTAATCTATTTTTGTGGCATGGTGAAAGAGCAAATTCATCTTCATTGAACTATCCTCTCCTAACAAACCTCCATTGACACCAATATTTATTAGACTATTACAATCCTTTTATTTCTTTGGTTGAATAAAACATGAGTTGGACACAATTTTTATAAAATGTTAAGAAATCAAAACATCATTCTTCATTAATATCACAATAAAAATATATTTTGCAATATAATTATAATATAAAAAGCATTAGATTATTTCTTATTATCCTTAAGTGAAGAATGACCTCCTCGTGATATTGAATGAGTAAACGGAATGGAATTTAAAGGGATGACAAACAAAACTTATAGTTTAATTAAAGGTTAAACAAATATTAATTAGGTGGTGTTCGTATGTTAATCTAAATGTGACACTTAGATTCCAACTCCTTCTACCTTCATTCAAGAATTAATTGTAGCAGGATTTTGACGTGAATGGCTTGTGTGGCTTCCTTTATTTTTGAGAAGTGAAAAGTTCTGATTTGATTTATGTTTATTTTATGTTAAAATATTTTGTTTTTATAATATTTTGATATTTTATTTAAGTTGAATTATTTCAAGTTAAAGTTTTATTTAATCTTTATTATTTAAAAATATTTTAAAATTTAAAATTATATTTGTTTGATATTGTGTTTGTAAGGCATAATTTATAATTAATTTATCTTAAATTTGAATTATGTTTGTTGAATATATATATATATATAAACAGTGCAATTCAAAATAGCACGCTGAAACACTGTAAAACCAAAATATTTCATTCCATTGATAAAAGAAACCTATCGAAACGGAATTAACAACAGGACTCACGAGAGACACGCACCATCAATATCTCAAACCGATCTTCGAAAGGATATTCTCCATTCTTTACTAGAGTTGGAAGATCCTTTTAAATTGTTTCTAGTCTGTAAAAATTGATGAATTCTAAGATTTTCGCTACTGTGTCACCTCTGTCCAGGCTTACCTGGAGGCTGGCTGGCTTATCTGCTAAATAAAGAAATCCCTTCTACAATCAACGTGCTAATATTGGAATGGAAGTTATACACGAACTTAATCTTCAAAAGACTCTTTATAACTAAATTAGCCAATGCAAGAGTTTTTTTTTTTGCGAGAGGAGAGGAGAACTGTAAAAGAATGTCATAGCTTGGGGCTCATGGTTACAAAATATAGCCTTATCCCATAAGACATGTTGTTTTCCTTGCTGCGGAGCGTTATGGTCTTTGGTCCAGCTTGTTTAGTGTTGGGGTTTAAAGAGATGGATTGGATTAGGATGGCAGAATATTGTCAAGCAATGAAAGAAAATATAAAGCTATTCTCCCACATCGAGATAAGAGACATACAAAAGCTAAGCCGTATTTCTATAAATTGAAGCATGTCGTCAGTGGAAGAAACCATGGAGCCGTGTGGTGAGCACAGAGCGAACTATTCTTTCGCCTTTTACTAAAGAATACCGTGGGCTCTCCATTGATAGCGGCATATCTCTATTTTTGAAGGGATTTTCCATGGCGAAGATCCCCAACAATTCAAGTTCCAAAACCTTGTTTTCAATATTTTAGTTCGTAAAAATCCATCCTTCTAGGTTCAAGAGAGATGGTAGGGGTAAAAAGTCATGGAACACTAACTAAAGAGAAAAATGAAATATCTTTCAATCTGACTATTTCATTCCTGAAAACATGATATGCATGGGATAAGAACGACTGCATATATCAGCAATTCTTGCTGCACGTATAATGTAGCTGGACAGATTTCTGTAGACACAATGTTTTGCTTCAAAAACTTAACTGCGATGAATTTGGCTTTTGCCAATATGGTAAAGTGTTACATGTGTTCTGTTTGCAATGAGTCAAAATTTTCAACTGAAATAATTGAAGAAATCAGCATAATTCTTGAAGATTGTATCAGTAAAATAATGAATTTGCTGTCAGGAAGATCATTGCAGCAAATTGATCTTTAAGTTTCAGATTCTTGGGATCTCTCTAGCATGAAGATATTGCCACTGTCATCTCTCCCTATCGTCATGTTGTCATCAACATATCTGTGTTAACCAAATCAAGGATCAAGTGCATTCTTCACATGTACCAAGCGATGATATTAAAGCAAGTATGCTCTAAGCAAATTCATAATAATGAATTAGAATGCCGGAAAGGATACGTGATCTCGAGCCAACCATCCGGATTGAATATGCTAAGCAGAAGATCGTATTTCGAAACATGTTCATCAACTGTCGTTGTTTTTCCACACAACAAAACAAAGAAATTTTGAAGTTACTGAAACATTCAGGATCAATTTGTGTTGCAGTCCTAAATGAAAAGTTCTGCAAGGAAACTTTAGTCTGCAGTTGCAAAACTACAATCACAGACGGCAGTTTCGAAACGTTAGCAATCGCAGCATATATTTCATTGCTCAATAGGTTTAGCTTTACCCGATCAGGGATGATAGTAGAACTTTCATAGTTTATATCAAGTCTCTGAAAAAGATTGGATGAAAATTAGTACTCTCTCATCACTTGCAATTTCAATGAATTATGATTGTCATAATCAAAGAAAAAGCAGGAACAAGTGACCAAAATGTAAAGTGTTTACTGATTTAGACGCAGTTTTGAAGGATGCCTCAATTGTCGCTGTCCATTCAACAAATTCAATCCTCTAACATTGAAAATGCATGAACAAAAACACGAGGGCAAGCTCGTTGTAAGCCTAAAACTAGTAAGAAAAAGATTCATGTCACACGTAAAAAAACTTGAATGCTTTCTAAGCACACTTAGACTATAAAGTTATTTATGTCACCAAAAATTACTAAGCACATAATATAATATCATACACATAATGCGGTAAATAAAATAATGGTACACTCCTTTGATGGTGAAGCTTATAAATGTTTTAATAGGATGTATTCTCAGTTTTTAATGGAATCAAGTAACGTGTGTCTTGTGTTATGTACAAACAGGTTCAATCTATCAGAGTAATTTGTTGCTCCTTATTCTTATTAGCTAGTAATACTAATGGTTTATAACTTGTCACTAAAGATATGTATAAGGATGAAGTTTATATTTTTATCTATTGTTATACCCGATCCTAATAGTCCTTGTCATAATATAAATGCTTGTCTTTATCTGTTGATTGATGAGTTTAAGTAATTGTGGTCATCTGAAAATTTAAGATATGATGTATCAAGGATGTAGAATCTTCAGATGAAAGCAACTTTGATATAGACCATCAATGATTTTTCTGGATATAGAATGATTTTTTATTAGAGCATGCATGAAAAACTATCATGCTCATACTATTTAGAAAATAAAAGGAACTTCACATTAATAAATGATAGTAAATTGTCTCTTTTTTTTAAAAAAATTTATACGGGTAGTTCTTGCTAACAAATCATAAGAATAGAAAGAATAGAAATGACTTCATTGTTGCCAAAGTCAAAATAGATATTGTACCGCTGTTACTGTTAAGTGAAGAATTGTATGATGTGGTGTTGAAGTATGATGACATTGTGTTTGGTTTTTAATCCGGTAAGTAGAAGTTTTCTAATTTTATTTGACTCATAATTAGGTAAAGTAAAATATTTTCTAAGAGTTTTCTTATTTGAAGATCAATCTCCTCTGATATAACCTTGATGACATACACATTAAAAGGAATGTGTTTCAAAATATTTTTAACATGATTATGGATATGAAAAGGAAGACAAATGACAATATAAAAGCTATAATGAATATGTCTTTATTTTGTCACTATAAAAATATAGAGTTAATTTATGATAGGTCATAAGTTGCAAAGTCCAAAACCAGTTTCATCTTAAATAAAAATACATATTTACTTGTCTACCAATTGCTTAAGAGTTTGTATTTTCTTGATAGATATAGTTTAAACATATCAATGTTGATGAATTTGAAGGATTGCAAGTTGTATGGGATGAAGAGTCATAACTGCCACGTATTTAAGCAAATACTTATTTTATCGAGATCAATCACTATTTTAGAAACATATACTTCAACAAGTTATAAACATAACACATGGAGAGACTTGAAATAAATATCTACAATCTACAAATTCGAGATTATATTTCCTCCAATATTCTTTGACTCAACGAAGCATCCAATATAGATGGATGTATCCATTAGAGATTAAGGATTATACATGTATCGTAATTAAAATTCTATAGTCTTTTTAAAAAAATTAAAAATATTCATTTAATTTTATGCAAGTACATATTCAATATTAAGAGAAAACTAAAAAAAAAAAAGATACTTGTTGCGGCTTCTGCATAGGAGACATATATTGTTGAAGAGATCTTAACATTTATCTCGTATTATTTTGAACCTCATTTGAAAATAATAATCAACTGTTTTCCAGGGTATGATGATAGTAAAAAAGTGTTTTCGAGTAAAAATTTGTCAATAATCTTTCATTTTAGATGATACGTACCAAAAAATAAAAAAAAATATTTGATAGAAATATAATTCAGACAAATATATAATTAAGTATTATTTAATTATAATAAAATGAGATATTTTATTAAGTAAGTATAATACTTGACATGTAATTACTTTTGAAGAATTTATCTCCTATGCTATTATAAATTATTAAATTTCTCATAGTTAATATCATTAATTTTTATTCTCAGGACTCACAACTGACTTTATGACTAAATTAGCCAACGCAAGAGGGGTTTTTTTTGGCGAGAGAAGTGGAGAACCGTAAAAGAATGTCATAGCTTGAGCATAAGTTTACAAAATATAGCCTTGTCCAGCAAGGCTTGAAGTTCCAACTACAGGAGCGATATGGTCTTTGGTCCAACTTGTTTAGTGTTGGGGTTTAAAGAGATGGATTGGATTCCATTAGATGGGATCTCGAAATTGTTACGACTCATATTTAAACATGCAAGAGCATACATTGCACATGATATCTGTCCCCCCAGTCAATGGAAGTCGACAGAACATGGTAATATTTATCAAGAAAAAAAATGATGGTATTACGATGGCAGACTATTGCAAAGCAAAGGCAAGAAAATATAAAGCTACAGTCCCACATCGAGAGAGGAGACATGCAAAAGCCATCCCTCAGTTCTACAAATTGAAGCATGTCGTCGAAGGTAGAAACCATGGAGCCGTGTGGTGAGCACAGAGCGAACTATTCTTTCGCCTTTTACTAAAGAATACCGTGTGCTCTTCATTGATAGCGGCAAGCCTCTATTTTTGAAGGGATTTTCCATTGCGAAGATCCCTAACAATTCATGTTCCAAAACCATGTCTCCTATATTTTAGTTCGTAAAAATCTATCGCTCTAGGTTTAAGAGAGAAGGTTGGGGTCAAACGCAGAAAGTCATGGAATACTGGCTAGACAGACAAATGACTGTTTCCCTTGAAAAGATGATGCATGGGATAAGAACAACTGCATATATCAGCAACAGGCAATTCTTGCTGCATGTATATGTAGCTGGACAGATTTTTGTAGACACAATGTTTTGCTTCAAAAACTTGACTGCCAATATGGTAAAGAGTCAAAATTTTCAACTGAAATAATTGAAGAAATCAGCATAATTCTTGAAGATTGTATCACTAAAATAATGAATTTGCTGTCAGGAAGATCATTGCAGCAAATTGATCTTTAATTTTCAGATTCTCGGGATCTCTCTAGTATGAAGATATTGCCACTGTCATCTCTCCCTATCCTCATGTTGTCATCAACATATCTGTGTTAACCAAATCAAGGATCAAGTGCATTCTTCACATGTACCAAGCGATGATATTAAAGTTAGTATGCTCTAAGCAAATTCATAATAATGAATTAGAATGCCGAAAAGGATACGTGATCTCGAGCCAACCATCCGGATTGAATATGCTAAGCAGAAGATCGTAGTTTTTTCGAAACATGTTCATCAACTGTCGTTGTTTTTCCACACAACAAAACAAAGAAATTTTGAAGTTACTGAAACATTCAGGATCAATTTGTGTTGCAGTCCTAAATGAAATGTTCTGCAAGAAAACTTTAGTCTGCAGTTGCAAAACTACAATCACAGACTGCAGTTTCGAAACGTTAGCAAACGCAGCATATATTTCATTGCTCAATAGGTTTAGCTTTACCTGATCAGGGATGATATTAGAACTTTCATAGTTTATATCAACTCTCTGAAAAAGATTAGATGAAAATTAGTACTCTCTCATCAATTTCAATTTCAATTTCAATGAACTATGATAGTCATAGTCAAAGAAAAAGCAGGAACAAGTGACCAAAATGTAAAGTGTTTACTGATCTAGACGCAGTCTTGAACGATGCCTCAATTGTCAGCTGTCCATTCAACATATTCAATCCTCTAACATTGAAATTGATCACATTAACTGCTTTGCCCTCCATTTTTGCATCAGCAAATGAAGAAACTTAGTCAAAGACCAACAAAAAAATGAAGTACATAAATTGCTTTTGACAAACTACGTATTTGTTGAAAAGAATAGAACTCATCAATCTTACTATACGCAAGAGGAATCTGATACCTTAGCGACATCAATATTCTGGTAAAAGTCTCCCAAGCTGATAAAATCTCTCAATCCTAGCTTTGTTCTCTTTGAACCCAGTATAGTGATTGTACTGTACACAAGCTTCCAGCAACCACCCACCTTTCCAATTATAGAAGCAACACTTTAACTACCAAGTTTTCATCAGCACATTCACAACTTACATACAAGCTTATTGATTTACCTTCTCAAGATTTAGAGTAGGATCTGGTGTTGGATTTTGAGACTCTAATAGCTCCACCAAACCATGAATCGCAGATTTCTTTGCAGATGGGACTCCAAAAATCCCTCTATTAATTACTTTGATCACATTTTAACGCCACCCCATTTCAGTATTCATTGCAGAATGCTCAACAAGCTCATTGTTAAGAGAATTAATGGCAAAATATTAGGCACATGAGACTGAAAATTCAAGGGGGGACAGACATACCTTGGACTGCCTGGAAAAGGTCTGCTTTAATCTGTTCAACTTCCCTGTTATCTTTGTCATTTTCATTGATCTCCTTGTTATCATCAACTAATCCAGGGCTTTGTTCTGCAACTTTGATGATGTGAATTGGCCTAACCACATCAGCATTTCTTTTCCTCCTGGTCCATGGATGAATTATAGCTGGGACTGACCTGCTATGAGTTTTAAGCATCTTTCTCATTCTTGGTACTGGATGCCCCACTTGAGAAGCTGGATTTACAAGCTTAGAAGCCATAAAATCCAGTTTCAGAAACATGATAGGTGTTGCTTCTTCCTTGTTTAAGCCCGGAAGATAGAGCCAAGAAAATGGGATTTGTAGTATCTTTTTTCCCTAATGGGGTTTGCATCCTCCCAGTTCGTTGGTTTATGTGTCCATTTTAATTTTTTATTGCAACTTGTATACTTATTAAATAGTTATATAAATTCATTGCTAAACTATTGAAGAGCAGTGATTGATTAATAAGATATAATTTTCTGCCTGTGAAAGCATGGACACCGTCCCTTCTCCGCCGTTTTGAGTCATCTTTGGATAAGATGCGTCTATGCAGACCTGTGGTTGAGAATATGAAATGGAGATATTGATTTTTTAATGTGTTTTTCTAATATATTAAAATGCTTTTTTATATTAATAAATTAAAATAACAACAAAAATATTAATTTATAGCTAAAAAATTTCTAAAAATTTCCAAAGCATATGTCTAACAGTTTATAAGGATCTGTTTCCAGTGCATCGCATATGTAAACAAACACTAAGAAATTGTTTGGCCTAGCAATGTATTTGTTAAAAAAATCAATTTTTTAAAGTTTAAAATTAATATTTTTGATGTTCTTAATTTTATTTAATATATTAATATTAAAAATAAGTTTTTAAAAATAAAATAATATTATCTTAATATATTTTTAAATAAAAAATATTTTAAAACATAATACCCAGGACACCGATCAAAATCAAAAACTAAGACTAAGTTTAGTATTATGGTTGCACATCGGTAAAAATCATGTTTTTACTGCAATATAATCTACGGTGCTCTGCAATAATAAGATAACTTTTTGTGTGTGTTTTAAAAATAATTTTAGACCGTTTATTTATTGAAAAAAAATTTTAATTTTTTTTTTAAAATAAATTTCAAAAAAATAAATTAATGTTTTATGTTTGGTAATATAATAAAAAATAAGCTGGAAAATAATTTTCAATATAGTTATATTATGAAAAATAAACTGAAAAATAACTTATTAATATTTTATTTTTTTCAAGTTTATTAAAAAAATAAAGAATAAATCTTACAAATTAAAAAGTTGAATAAGAATAAAATTGAAAAAAATATAATTTAATAAATTATCTTAAATAAATAAAAAATAATCAAAATAATAGAGATCAAATCTAAAAATAATAATTAAAAGATAAATAAATTAAAATACTGATAACTAACATTTCATAAATTATTTGAAATAAAATAAATAATAATCAAAAGAATGAGGATAAGATTTGATAGATAAAAAATTTGAACTAAAAAATAAAAAGGAAAAAGCAAATAACAATTATAAAAATAAAAACCAAAGTTATATAAAAATTAAATTGTAAGGAATGAAATTAAAAAAAATAGTCAAAATAAAATATATATAGCATTCAAAAGTTTGAGGATCAAATTTGATATAATCAGTAAATATTGTGATATTTTTAAATTTTTTACAACTTCTGAAAAATATTTTCCATCCAAAATAAAAAGAAAATACTTTTCTGACAACCAATTCAAATTTGTTTTTTACTAGAAAGTGTTTTTCGTTGACCAAAAAGTGTTTTTCATTAATCAACTTTTCTAATAACAAATAAACATATGAAAGTTTGGAAAGTAGTTTTTCAAAAATCACTTTATGGAAAACAAACACACCTTAAAAAAATTAATTTATTTTATTTTAAATTAATATATTTTTGTAATTTTAGATTTTATTAAAGCACTAATATTAAAAATAATTTTAAAAAAATTAAAAAATATATTATTTTGATATATTTCTGAATAAAAAATATTTTAAAAAATAATTATAAACACACTCTTAATAAGACACTAAATAGAAACTATAACACTGAACACAATCAAGTGGTTTGCTTGGACAACATAGATAATTAAAGAGTCTTATGGATTTAAGGTAATTTTTTATATTATAGTAGAGATTAATTTTTAAAATATTTTTTATTTCAAAATATATTAAAATAATATATTTTTATTTATTTTAATATCAACACATCAAATGATCTAAAACATTAAAAAAATAATTTAAAAAAAAACATATTAAAAAACTTAACCTAACTACAAAAACACACACTACCTAAATTAAATCCTATTGTTTTTATAATTGGACCATATGGTAAAAAAGGTGGAAAGCAAACCTACTTGCAATCCTTGTCGACCCTAGAGGTTCATCCTAAATATGCTAATTTGATTGATTTAAAAATTATGATCAAATATAGAAGCAAATAAATTTTTAAACTAGATTTCTACTAAAAGTTTTTTTTTTCTCGAATAGAAATAACAACTCTTAACTTGTTTGTGGTTAAGAATGGTAATTTAACTTGAATATGATTGATATAGATAAAAACATATTTGAATCAACTTGAAAGAGATAATTTTTTTAGATAATTACTTTATTTAATGATAAATGAATGAAGTATTGTCAAACTTAACTCTCTTTATATATAAAACAATATGATTATATTTTTAAGTTTAATATAATTTATACATGCATTTTGTAATATTTTAATATAAAAAAGGAAAGAATTGATATGAAAAGGCATAAATGCTCTTGGAGGGATAGATATTAGATATAAAGGAATGAGGGGTATTAATGTAATTGTATATGAGTTGATAAATATAAATAAATTTAAAAAATAAAAACAAAAATCTAAAATTAGAGAGAGAGAGAGAAAACTAGGAGGAGAGGAAAATGAAGAAAGTTAGAAGAAATAAGTTGTTAAGGTAAGATTTATACTTTAATATGTATAAGGGTTGTTAATACTTAAGATTTTGAATTTGTTAAAGATTAGGGTTTTATGTATAATTGATGAGTTGATTGAAATGTTATGGATTAATTGTTATGGATAATGATTTAATTGGTTGGATTTTAGATGATTTTGTTAGTAATAATGATTTTGAGATTAATTGATTTAATTGAAGTGTTGGGTGTGAGAACATTGAAATTGTGAAAAATCCTTGCTAGAAATCTCGATAATATGGTCTTGAGTTTGAAGATGATAAAATTTTATTTTAGTCTTTCAAATTTAGATATTTATAGTTTAATCCTTGAACTTTGAAAAAATATAGATTGATTCCTAGAGCATAATTCAAGATTGCTGACAGAATTAATGATTTATTATGGGTAAAATTTCAGTATATTTATGAATTTATAATATTTTTAGTTTGGTCATTTAATTTGAAAAAATTACAATTTAAACCTCTAAAAATTTGAGAAAATTTCAAATTGGCCCTAGTTGTAATTTAAGTTTTTCATATTGGTTTGACGAATAATTGAGGTTAATTAGTGAATAATTACCATATTTTTTTATTTGTTTCCTTTTGAATTAGAATTTAAAAAACCGTTTGATTTTTGAGTTTTTTTTTTTAAATGATCGGTTTGGTTTATAAACATAGAGGGTAATAAGTTAGATCTTAAGTTAAGTATATTAAATGGATTGTATATTTTTTTAAGTTGTTTTGGAGTGTGTTTTCTTTTGCATTCAGATAATTCTGATATTCTATATGCTAGACATCAATAGAATTGTTTTTGGTATCTACTTCCATGTTATTTCTCCTTTTAAGTTAGATGAGTGAATAATTTTTCATATGTTAGAAGATTAGTATAAATACTTGAATTGTTAATATGAAATTAATTGTGCTTCTTGGTAATTCTTATATTATTATTTAGTTCTTATTTATGATCAAGTATGAGTTGAGTATTGAGATATGAATCTGTCTATATGATTATGATATGAACCTATAATATGCTGGTTAAAATACTCATGCTAACATAGTAGTTTTAGTTTTTATGCATATCGTATGTAAACACTTGTTGGTTGAGAGTCACGAACTTGTAGCAACTAATCATTCTATATTATGTAACGTCATGTTTATTGAATTTGATTTTTTGATGATATGGTATTCTTGTTATGACATATTTAAAAAACTTTCATGTAAAACTTAAAGTCATATTTGTGTATATATCTTATACACATATATTGAACGTTACCTACTAGCTAAGATGTTGAACTAACCCTCTTGTTATTTATTCTTTTCAATCTTATAATTTATTCACATGTTGTTTTTATTAGAACTTCAGAACTTGTTATTTATTTATTTATTATAATTAGCATTTTTATTATATATCTAGTTAATGCTCTATAATTACAGTATTTAAATTAATTATTACATTAAAATACTCAATTTATATTACAAAATTAGTTATGTTATCACGTGGCATAAATTTCTGGTTCGGTTATATAAAGAAAAAGTTTTAGAAAAATCTTATCTATACTGGCCATGGATCTGAAAACTGTGTCGAGACATATTCTCTCTGATTTTTTGCTCTCCTGTAAATATCCTCGGATGGATACTGCATTCTTCTGAAAACAGTTTTTCTTCCATGACTTTTAGGTCAGTATGACTTTGGTCAAATTCATTCATTTATTTATTTTGTAACTGAATCACATACACAAAAGCATTTTGCTTGCTTTTTCGATGCAAAATAGGAAAGTCAACAGTGACTTGAAGTCGGTGTGACAGTCACCAAAAATCAGGGGCAAGAAGATCGGAGGTCACAAGCCGGTGACCAAACCTATCTACATACTTAAATGTCTGTCGATGATGTCCATTGCCATCATCAACCAGGCAGGAATAAAAAATATCAACGTGAGACATGCCGCACACAAATTCCAATGTCTTCCATTAAAAAGCATTTTTATCCTTTTTCTCACACTCGGGCTCGCTCATCGGCTACCAAATACACGTGAGTTCCAATAAATATTTTGAAAGCATGATCTTATGCAGCCGATGTAGATTGCTGGGTCTCTTGCTGTTGTTTCCACTGAGCAGGGGTCACAGCTTTCTTTATTGAGAGGGCATGGATCTCTTTCATCTCCTCTACCAGAGCAGCATTGACAAGTCGATGCCTCTCCAGCAGCCTCTTCCCCTCAAATTGTTCTGAGACAATCTCAATAGCAAAACTTGCACCACAACTGACAACCAATAAAGTTTTATCAAAAAGAAAGACACAGAAGTGATGAATCAACACGTAAAGTTCCATTTTCAGACAAATCTATTCGGGAGAAAAAACTCACCCTCCAGATGTATCAACCACTTCCTGAGATCACAAAAAAAGAAGAAGATAAAAATAGATGAATTAGCTTACAAAAAAATAAAAAAAGATGAAGGAGAAGCATTACACTAATATGTTCGCCCTTAACAGGATTTGCGACAAAAAAGCCCTGGAACATCCTTAACAGGATGTTCTAGGACTACTCTAGGGGACTGTAGTCATCAAACTCTAAGCTCATGACAAACTTTTAATTTTAACAATCCATCGCAAAGTTTATCCCTTTTTACCACCCTTTCTCACTGGAACCTTCCATGCCACTTCAGTTTACTATGTGTTGAACAGCATAAATTTGTATTATTCTGTTAAGTACAGTCTTCCAAAAATTTCACATTGTCATTCCAATAGTGCTCCTTGGTTCTTATATATCATAGGAATACACTTGCATGGACTGGTTAATTCAGGAGTTCTAACCTAGACAAATACCAATGCTGACCGGAATATCACAAAATAATAATTTGAGCACCACAGTATCCTCCGTGGTTTTATAGCTTATCCGAGCAGCACCATAATTCCATCAAGACGGTAATCACCGCACACTATTCAAACCACCTTCCTCATTTCCAGTAATTTCATCAGAGAGTTTTCTAAAGGATAAATCACAGATTATGACCACTATGTAGGAGTCAGTTTCAATTAGGCCCTTAAACTGCCAATCACCATCCTACCCGTTTCACCTCACAAGAAGTCCCTCAACCTTTTTCTACATCCTACTTCAACATGAACTATAAATCATAGAAGAGGCAAACGAAATATGGAAGTTACTTCTAAATTCTAGTTTTCCAACCATGAAAATATAACCCGGTTCCATAATGCTAGAAAGCGCATAACCGAAACAGGCTACCGTTGTGCAATGAGATTTTCATGTGTCAAACGCAAAATGAGTAGCATCCTTGTTTCCCTTCATCAAAGACAGAAACTTCATACAGCTCAACTTATTGACCTCCACAATGCTTGAAGAATCTACACGACATTGAGACTAGGTAACTACTATAAAAACTCTACCATCAGACTATCAATAAAACGTGAAGCAAAAGGCTGAAAGGCAAAACAATGGACAAAGTTTAAGTGTTTAAGGATGATGTTTTGTATAAACAAAGAAGACCCACTTTCTAAAATCCAAAAACAAACCACTAATAAAAGCCAAAACCCAAAAATATAAACTGATCAATAGCAAATATAAACAGATCCTAGTAGCTTAAAAATGCTAATTAAGCAGAAAGTTAGTATCTTTTAGCATATTTACACAAAACAGAAGCACATACACACAAATATTCAAAGGTAGGGATCATAAATTAACGAAACCAAATAGAGCTTACAAGATGTGAAGGGTTCAATTTTGACTTTAGAGTGGACTCAACTTGTTCCTTTGTAACTCCCATCTCGTAACTTTTTGTTAGCTCCCTTTCTCTGTCTCGTTCAGTTTTGTGCCCTAGAAATCCATGTGCTGTGTAAAGTTTTGTCCTTCCCTTGTTTATCTTCCACGCTTTTTGGTGGACTGAATTATGAGGATTAAATTTGGGTGGACTGTATGGAAGGCCCACCTAATCCTACAAGCCCATATAGAAGTTTTTGTTTCTTGTCGAAGCATATTTTAAGGAATGCTGCCGAAAAAAATACAAAAACATTGTGTGAGAAAAGATTTTTATACTTGATGTGTATTTAAAAAAATATATTATTTTAGCTAATAGAATTTAATTGAGGGAAGAATAATCTGGATTGACATGTACATTAAATAGTTTAAGAACACTTCTTGGCCCTCAAACAAAATTAAACTATAGGGGTAGAATTGGAAGAATTGTAAATGTATAGGGACAAAATGAAGTGTACCCAGGGTATAATTTGCAATAATCAAACACACATGACCTTTTCCCTGTAATTTGGATTCATCACGCATGACGCAATACTTCGAACAAAATGCTTCCATCGCCCAACCAATCGCTAGACGACACACAAGTACCTCCGATTGGCTCAACCATCAAGGATTCCCAGTTGACTCCACAGGCCTCGAGGGCTAGCCTTTTTTCTATTGCAGCCACAAAGTTTTCACATTCTAGCCAATGCTGAACTAGTTCCAATCATTGCCTGAAAACCGGATCGGTACGATGGTCGGACCTTGGACTTCAATGATTTAAATCTGAATTGATTGAGATTGATTTAATTAAAAATAAATTTAATACTTTAAAAAAGTATTAAAAAAATATTTTAAATTTCTTAAAAATATATAAAATTAACTATTTTAACTCTTGATTTAGATTATATCAATAAAAGTACTCGGCGTGGTTAAATCACAAGGGATCGTGTAAATTTGCTGTACAAGCAGGAAGAGTTGCTAGCCAGAAAGGCAAAGCTTTAACAAATCTGATTACTTCTCCATATTCCATTCCATGTGGTCAATGATAGGCATCCCTTTTCACTCTCCATGGTTGAAATTTGAACTAGACCCACATGCAAGAATTAGGTAAGCAAGCAAGCTGGATTCTTTCTTTTTTGCGAGATGGGCAGCTGGCGTCCTTACTTAGCTGCCATGGAAAGTGACTGTCGGAGGAACTTTATTGCAGCTACGAGTCCTACAAGGTCACCGTTCTCTTTCACATCTTCACTTTTGTTTCTGAATTTTCCACTCAAAGCATCCAAAGAACCTAGCCGAACACCTTTGAAATTAATTTGGATTTCTTGTCGAGGCTTAAAATTCTCTCTTCCCACGTGCTGGTCAAACAGTAATAAATTTCAGCACGAGGTAAAAAAATTTGGAGAGATAACTTTTTAAAGGGCGGAGCATTAAAGGGCGTAAAAGGTATAGGATTGTGACAATGCTGGCGTCAGTAAATATCGATTCCCATTACATTATTAGTTTTGAATATATTTATTTTTACTATAAAGATTTCTTTTATTTAAATCCAATGGCCTAATGTGAGGTAAATAAAAACCCATCATTTATATATAAAAATATTAATTACCAACCTTTGAATTTTTTTTTTAAACTGCATTCCATAGCCCGATCCTGTTATAAATTAGAGAACTGCAATTTTTCAAAGGCTTTTTGTTTTATTTGAGTGCCTAACTTGTATTTTATCTATTTGAATGATTAACCTTTAATTTTTTTTTTCTATTTGAGTTTATTCCGTTACTTGAGACTATTATATGTTGGCACAGCCAATATAGCAACTAATATACAACAGCTTTACACTAACACGTGGCAAAAGTAGCTCTAAATTGAAGAAAAATACAAAATAAAAAAAATATAAACATATAGAAAAAGGTGGTAGAAATTAAAAAATTAATTTTTTTTTTAAAATGATATAAATATTTCCTTGTCTCATAATCCAAGATAAAACTTTTATATTGTGTTAATAGTTATTTTTTAAAGTATTTTTTTATTTAAAAATATATTAAGATATTTTCTTTATTTTAAAATTTTTATTTTTAATATTAGTTTATCAAAATAATCTAAAATACTAAAAAAATTAATTTAAAACCAAAAACATTTAAAAAATAATAATTTAAACACAAAAACAAAAACTAGTATCTTTACTCCTGTGCTTTCCTGACAAATAGCTCAAAAATCATATTATTTCCTCCATAAATGGTTTCACAACACTCCTAAACTTTTTTGGATTGATAATCCATCAATGATGTATTATTCTATACTCATTTAAAATATCCATGTAGACATGTGATGAAAGAACTTTTAGGGAAAATAAAATATTTTCTTTAAATATTTTTTATTTTAATTTAGAATTTTTATTTTTATTTTTCTATTCAATATTATAAGATTTTTCTAGGTTTTTTATTTGGAATGAATAATTTTTCTATTCACTACTAATGGGATTTTTTTTATTTTCTTTCTCTTTTTTTTACAGAAAAAATTATAATAATCTTTTGATAAGTGAAATTTAGATAAATAAAAAATAAATATTTTGAAAGTCTCAAATTTATGGTCTTCCTGGTTTTTGATATGTCAATTAATATCAATGTTGAACCATTTTTAATAGTTAATTTTTGTATGATGTTATTAGAAATTCTAATGATGGGTTCTATGATGGGCCACTTTATACAAAAATAATAATAATTAATTCTTTATTTATGAGATTTTGTTTGAAAAAAAATAGCTTTCATTATAGATGACAAATTTTTACTAAGAAGAATATGCCCATGAACAATTTAAAATCAATTAAGAGTTTTTACTAGATGCATTAGTTTTTTTTTTTAGAAACCAAATATATTCCTTAATTATTTTTATTTTTTTCAATTTAATTTTACTATTTTTATTTAATATTTTAGTTTTAATCTAGTTTTTCTATTTCGAATGAACAGTTTTCCTATTTTTATTGATAAGGTATTTTAGGTTTTTGTTTTTCTATGCAAAGATTTGTAATAGTGTTCTGACAAGTCAGGCTGAAATCAATAAATAAAGTATTTTGGATATTTCCATTTAATTTTGAAAAACCTTACCTTCCTTTGCTACCCAATTACATCATTGTGTAGTCAATACAAAATAATTCTTGGTGTCTGTTCTTATTTTTTGCTGCAAAATAATTTCAAGCGGGACGCACCTTTCGCTGTATGTTATTATCAGGAGAGGCGAGAAAAGAACCAGATAACGTGTTAGTTGATACAAACAGCATCAACATTTGACAGTTGAATGCACTAAAATAGAAACAAATTATGAGGTTAATCACTCAAATAGTTAAAACTAGATCCATGGCCAGTAATATGCTGTAGGATGGATTAATTTTTTTTATAATATAAAAAAATATTCAAATGATAATAACCGGATTCAACTTAGAATAACCTAATTAATATATGATCTAAATTGTAAGATTAAAATAATTTAAAAAAAAACTCCACAAAGCTTAAAATATAATAATTTAATGTAAAAAAAATAAAAATAAAAAATATCAATATTTTTTTAAAATTATATTTATTTAAGTTAACTTAATAAAACTCACCGAAATTAGATATAAAATTAGAATAAAAAAATCATATCAACAAAACAAAAACACTCTTAAAACAACAACATAGTTTTTAAATTTAATGGTTAAATTCATTATTTTACTGTTAAAAAAAAAAAGCACACCTACAAAAGCTTAATATATGAAAAACAAATGAAGATCAACAGCTCTTTTGCGCTAAGCCTAATTCTTTTTTTTTTTTTTGAAGGATATCTAAGTTTTTTTTATTGTTATAAAAAAGAAAAAAATGATTTACCCCAATTCAATTTATTAATTTCAATTAAACCGGTGAAATGATTATCTTATTCCTCAAAATGCACTTATTCGGTTATCAATGTGGAACGCAAAAAAAATCATTATACATTATAGTAATTAATTCACAGTGCAACATCTCTTGCTACACAATAAACATCGAGCACCCTTAATGATTTTAATAATAAAAGGTCAGGTATTTAAACAAAATAAATATAAAAAGGTTGTGGGCTAAAATTACAATCACAGTAAAATAAAAAAATATTTACCTTTACTTTTTAAGATTAAATGTTAACCCATTGAAAATCCCCCCCTTACAGTCATGGAATATCCGTAGCCCACTTACCAAATTATTGACAGTTTGAATTAATTTCCTTGCACGAGAAGTAAGTGAACCTGTATTTTAATCACAACTGGTAGCCACAATCACATGCTAGACATACGTGCTCATCTAGAATAGAGTTACTTCAGACATTAACATATGCGCATTTTACCATTATACTATCTTCCAATTTACTCATGAACATCAACTTTGACATTAGGAAATTCCCAGCAGCCATCCAGGATGTTTTTTTTGAACCAAAGTAGAGGACAGATGGTCTAAGAAAGTGGACGGTCACAGCCACAAAGGTTGGGTGCTCTCCAGTGGAGCTAAGATTAATTTAAAAAAAAAATCAAAATGATATTGTTTTGATAAAAAAATAATAATTAATTTTTTTTATATTTCAGATCAGCCTACACCTTAAATTGATCTAGTTTTCTTGAATGTGTAAAGCAAAACTAGGTTTTTAAAGCTATGCTTTAAAGCTACCATTTCACCACCTTAATCTATGGTTGGAAAAATGGACTTTTACGAGCCGTTTCAAGTAGTTGCTTGCCTGGTAGATATGAAAAGACACCCATGATTTGGATTACGTAAACCATTTCAACACTCTTGCAAGGTAATAAAATTGATTACTTTTTACCTACTTTATATGATTAGGATGTTCAAATTCTATTCCATTTCCCTCATTTTTCTTGGTGTGAAAGTAAGTTCTTACCAAAGTTGTTAGATTTTAACTCTTTTTTTTTTTTTTTTTTTATAAATAATCTTAGTCAGATCAATGTGACATGCATCTTATCTAGAAACCTTGGCATGGAGGCTCGTCTAGATCTAGATTGGCAAGCATTTATTTTATTTTATTTTATTTTCTTCAAACTCTCTACGTGATTCCATATTCTCTTCCCTTTTCATATTAGATTGAAGTTTATCTGGTCATGCTTAAGGAG